CAGTGTCGGCTGGCGACCCCCAGGGGGAGGGCCTTCTCTGTGGGTGCCCCCACCCTCTGGAACGAACTACCCCCCGAGATCCGGACGATTCCGGATCTCCTATCTTTTCGCCGCGCCCTCAAGACATGGCTTTTTCAGCAAGCGGGTCTGGCCTAGGGAGAATTTTAAATAGGGACAATTTTAATCAGAATTTTAATGGCACACAGCGGTTAAATATTTGTTTTTAATTGGTTTTTATTGGGGATAGGGTTTGTATTGTTTTAATATGCTGTAAGCCGCCCTGAGTCCTGTTGGGAGAAGGGCGGCATATAAGTTTGAAAAATAAATAAAAATAAATAAATAAATTTGCAAATATGGCCACCATGACAGATCAATACCTTGTTCTTGTAAATCTTGTTTGTCTTTCAATTTTCCTTCATTATCCAAGATATCTTTATAAGTCACAACTTTATTGTAATTAACTAAATTTGGGTAAGCAAAAGCTTCCATTGTTGAAAGCCATCCAAGTATCTTAATGTAAATTTTTACTTTTATTTTTTTCCATTCTGAAAAAAGTGCATTTCTTATAAAGTGGTTTTGAAAATATCTATGTATTTTATTCTTCCTATACCACAGAAAGGCATGCCAACCAATTTGTAGGTCATGCCCCTCTAGGTATAATAGTCTTTTATCTCTAAGCATTATCTATTCTTTAAACCATGTTAAAATAGTTGCTTGGTAGTATAACATCCAATCCGGCAGTCCAAATCCTCCACTTTCTTTCGCTTCTTGTAGCATTTTCAGTCTAATTCAAGCTCAGACATGTCAAACACAAGGCCCAGGGGCCGGATGCGGCCCGCAAAGTGGTTTCATGTGGCCCGCAAAGCCATCCTGGAAACAGTGAGGGAACGGCCCCCGCTGCCTTGGCCCTGGCCCAGGCCGGCCAGGAGGAAGCCAATGTACAATTTTGTGGTGGCCATCTATGCTGAAACGCATTCAGTCTTAACTCCATAAGGCCGTCTGGAAACAGCAAGGAACCAGCCCTGCCGCGTCAGCCCCGCCCCCTGGGTGCAAGCTGGGGAGGTGTCACCCTTCGTGAGGAATGAAGAAATGCACCATCGCCTGGAAGTGGCCAGCAAATGGCGCTGGCCTACTTCACATATCCAGCTTGATGTGCTCTGGGGGAGGGGTTTCGGCAGGCAGCGGGGAGCTCTCCTCACTGTGCCGAGAGGCTGAGCTGGTGGCGCGAATCTGATGAGAAGTGCAATGCTGCCTAGCCCCCAGCCTGCCCTGTTTCAGCAGGCAGCAAGGTGCAAAGCTGGTGAGCTTTGCACCGCCTGGCTCAACCTCTCGGCACTGTGAGGAGAGCACCCCACTGCCTGCCGAGAACAGGCAGGCTGGGGGCTGGGCGGCGATGCACTTGTTTTCAGATTTGCGCCGCCTGGCTCAGCCTCTCGGCGCTGTGAGGAGAGCACCTTGCTGCCTGCCAAAACCAGGCAGGCTGGGGGCTGGGCGGCATTGCGCAGGTAACATTGACTCTCACGCTGCTTGTGGCATCCCCTCCCCCAGAGCCCACCAAACCAGATATGTGAAGTGAGGGCCATGTGCTGGCCACTTCCAGGCGATAGTGCATTTCTTCATTCCTCATGAAGGGTGACACCTCCCCAGCTGCATTTCTTGCCTGTTTTTCTCCCTCATCTCAAATATTTTCCCACCACTCTGTACTTAGGAAGGAACGAAGGAAAGAAGGAAAGGAGAGAGAGGGTCTGAAGGAAGTCCTGCCTTAGTCCTGCCCTGCTGCCCTTTCACCATCCCCTTGCCCCCTCCTCCTGGCCTATCCTGGGGGTCTCCCATCCTATTGCTAAGGAAGCTTTGGATACAAAGCAGGGTCTCCTCCCATGGAGAGGGAATGGGCCTCCCTCTGACTTTGCCCTCGTACCCATCATGAGCAACCTGGGTAAGGAGAGCAAGCACAGCAGCAGTAGCCTTGAGGACGAGATAAGTGCAGCTGGGTGTCCCTTTGGGGAAGTGGGGCTGGGCTTGGTGCTGCGGGTACTCGAGGGCCAGTCTGGGCGTTTGACCTCTGCTGCCCAGGGCTCCAGGCAGCTCGTACCACCATCCAGCCCCCCCACATGGCTGAGAGAAACAGTGAGGCTCCTCCAGTGGACCATGCATTGGCACTTGTCCTGGTCCCACCCCTTCTGCCAGAGACCCTCAGATCTGTCCCACTCCTGCCTAGGCCCCCACAGGCACCACTGATGCGAACAGTGTAGAGCTGGCCATGCCCCCCCAGTAGGCCACACCCACTCCATCTACGTCCATCCAGTAGGCTGCACCCACCCTGGCCCCACACACCTGCCCCCCCAAGGGCAACTGCAATGCTGATGTGGCCCTCAATGAAATTGAGTTTGACACCCCTGTTCTAGCTTTTTTTCCTTGCCAGATAAATTTCAGTATTGTTGTATTCAATTAATCAAAAAAGACTTTTCCCAGCCTTACAGGAATTGTTTGAAATAAAAAGAGTATTTTGGTAAGATATTCATTTTCACTGTTGCTATTCTCCCCAGCATTGAAAGTTGTAGGTTTTTCCACTTTTCCAGGTTCAGTTTTATTTGTTTTAGCAGTCTTACATAGTTATTTTCTTTTATTGTTACACATCTTGCTGTTAGGTAAATTCCCAAATATTTAACTTTTTTAACTATTTGAAGCTTTGTTTTTTTTGCTAGTTGATTTTTTTGTTTTTCTGTTAGATTCTTTGTTAGCACTTTAGTGTTTTCTCTGTTTATTTTCAATCCTGCCACTTCTCCAATTTTTTCTATTTTCTCCATAAGTTTAGTGCTTGTTTCCAGTGGATCTTCCAATATAAAAACAAAGTCATCTGCAAATGCTTGTAGTTTATATTGTTCATCTTTTAACTCCAGTCCTTTCATTTCTATATCTTGTCTGATGTTTCTGTTCAATACTTCCAGTGTTAGTATAAATAATAATGGAGGTAGTGGGCATCCCTGTCTTGTGCCTTTTTTAATGTTAAAGTTTTCTGTAAAATCTCCATTAACAATTATTTTGGCTGTTTGTTTACAATAAATTGTTTTAATTACATTTATAAAATTTTCTCCAAAATCCATTTCCACTAGTTGCTAGAACATGAATTGCCAGTTTACGTTGTCAAACGCTTTCTGTGCATCAAGGAATATTAAAGCCATCTGTTTCCCTGGATGAGTTTCATAGTAGTCTAACACATCAAGAATCATTTTTAAATTATTTTTTATCTGTCTTTTAGGTAGAAAACCATTTTGGTCTGTATGTATAAATTCCATCAAAAATTTCTTTAGTCTTTCTGCTATTATTGAGGTGAAAATTTTATAGTCTACATTTAATAGTGATATTGGTCTATAGTTTTTTATTTGCGTTAGATCAGAGTCTTCTTTGGGTATTAAAATAATATTGGCTTTAATCCATGTATTTGGTATTTTAGCCTCCAGGAGTATTTCATTACACAGTTCTTTCAAAATAAGACTTAGTGTGTCTTGTAATGATTTATAAAAAGCTCTGCAGATAATCCATCTGGACCTGGAGTTTTATCATTTTGTTGCCTTTTTATAGCCTCTATAATCTCCATCATTGATATTTTCCCATTTAAGATATTTTGAATATTCTCTGAAATTTTTGGTAAGTCTGCTTTTTTTAAATACTGCTGTATTTTTTCTTTTGGAATTTCCTCTGCATTGTAAAGTATCTGATAATAGTTTTTAATAATTTTTTTAATTGTATCATTTTGAAGCTGTAATTCACCTTTGGGATCTTGCACTTATTTATCAGTTTTTTTCTCTTTTTCTTTTTTCAGTCTATATGCTAACCATCTCCCTGGCTTGTTAGCATTTTCAAAAAGGTTCTGTTTAGCCCTTTTAATCTGTTGAGCCATTATTTCTGTCTCAGCTAGATTTAATTTGTGTTTTATTATCTCCATTTGTTTCTTAAGTATTTTCTTTTGTGAGTCTATTTGTAATTCTGATTCTAACTTTCTGAATTCTTCCTTCAACTTTAACTGTTGTTGTTTCTTTTCTTTATTCTTTTTAGTGGTATAGATTATAGCCAACCCTCTAAAATATGCTTTGGCCGTATCCCACACATTTTACAGCGATGTTTCTTGTTTATTTTGAAGAAAAAATCCATTTCCTTTGTCACTAGTTGTATAAATTATTTTTCTTTCAATATAGATTTGTTCAAGGACCATTTAATTTTTTCTTGGTTCCTCTCCAAGTCATCTTTATTGGGTTATGATCTGCCCAAACATTAGTTTCTATCTCAATTTCTTATATCATCGTATTAAGTTCCAGAGATGTCCATATCATATTAATTCTAGACCATGATTTATGTTTATTTGAGTAAAATGTATATTGTAATTTCTTTGGATTTTTCTCTCTCCATGTATCTTGGATACAAAGTTCCTGTGTCATTTTTGAAAACACTTTAGGTAATATATTTCCTCCTCTCCTCCCTTGTTTAGCGCTTTTATAGTCCAAAGTTCCATCTGCTATTGCATTAAAGTCTCCAATTATACAGAGATTTTGATAGTTTAAATCTAATATTTTTTCATGTAATTTTTGGTAAAATTGTTCTTGTTTATCGTTTGGTGCATATATTGCTACCATCAGTATCTGTTTTTGATCCATCATTATTTCCACCATTAATATTCTCCCCTTTTCATCCACGTAAATTTGTTTGGGATTCATCGTTTCTTTAATGTATAGAGCTATTCCTCTTTTCTTTTGAAGTGCTAATGCAAAGTAAAGTTTACCAATTTTCGGTTGTTTTAACAACTTATAATGTTGTCTCTTAATGTGTGTTTCTTGAAGACAAATTATATCCATTTTTAATTTTTATAATCGTGTAAAGATTTTTCTCCTTTTTGAAGGAGAGTTTAGTCCATTTATATTCATTGACAAAATCCCACTCTCCTCCATCTTTCAGTTATATCTAGGTCTTAATCTTCTAGTCGATCTTATCTGTCTCTGATCTCTTGGTCTTGCTCCTTCTTCTGCATATGTATTTTTAATTTCTTCCTCCTCTCTTGGTTTGACTGTTCCTTCTACTGCCATTTCTTCCTGTTTCTTTGTTTCTCTCTTTGTACCAGATTCAAAATCACCTCCTTCCAGAAATGCTCTATGGTTGTCGAAAATTCCATTGCTTTAAGTGGCGTATCCAATCTATATCTTTTCGTGTCCCAATAGATTAAAATCCCTTCTGGAATCAGCCATCTGAAATTCACTCCTTTTTCAATTAATTTCCTAGTTAGAAACTGGTATTCTCTTCGAGATTCTCTTATTCTCCTAAGAATTTGTTTGACGACTACAATTTCTTTTTCTTTGTATTTCAAAGGTTCATCTCTTATTCTTCTCAGAATCTCGTCTCTTGTAGATCTTTTGAGAAATCTAACATGTACTTCCCTGGGGACTTTTTTTTCTTCTAGCATAGTTTGAGTTGACTCAATAGATCTGGTCTAATTCTCCTTCCATTTCCTGTTTCCCGATTCCTAATGTGTCTACCAATAATTCCATCTAGAAGATCCTCTTCCTTATCTTCCATTATATTTTGAAATCTTAAAAAGTATGAGGCTCTTTCCATCTCCATCACAGCTATTGAGTCTTCTAGTTCTCAATTTATTTGCATCAATTTCTGATTTTCATCTTTTAAGACTTCTAATTTCTGGTCAACCTCAGTTGATTTATCTTTTATTTTTTGGACTCTTTGTTGGTTATCTGTAATCATCTGTTTAAAATTTTCAAATTGAGAGTCCCATGTTATTAATTTTTTGATTCATTTTATCAAAATCACTTTTCATCTCCTCATGGTTTCTCGTTGTTACCGCCATTTGAGTAGCAATTGCCTCTTGAATTGCTTGTAATGTCACTTGAGTTTCCTTTTGGAAGTTATTAGCCTTTTCTTGTTGGAGTATTGTATCAATTGATCTCTGATAGACTGGACTTGCAGAAACAGAAGAGGGAGCAGAAGTTCCTTTTTTTCCAACTTTAGATAGATTGGGGACGTTTATCTTTATCTTTTAATCATACTTTATAATCCAGCAAGTAAGTCAAAATTTATAATCCAATGGGCTCCTAACAAATAGGAGAAGTAAATAATAAAAAATAGTAAGTAGTAAAAAAAAGAACAAAAGGGAAAAAAGAGAAAAAAAGAAAAATATATATACCAAAATTTGTAATCCAAAGTGTTCTGTTAGAAGAAATTTCTTGTTATTCACTCTTTCACAACAGCTTGTAAAAATTCCAGGTCAAGTTGTATTTGTAATCCAGGGAAGTCAGATGACTTCAAAAACAATTTTTATTTATAATTGTAATCCATCCTGTAGAAAAGGGCAATCCAAAAAGAGTCTTTTCTTTTTCAGCCACAATCTTCAAGACTAAAAATTCCAAGGACACCAAAGTGTTTAAATTATAAGCTGAGTCGGGCATCCAGCCAAGTTTTAAAACTCCAATCAAAACAACTTAGTAAGATTAAAAAAAATAGCAAGGTTAAATAGTAGCTCTCAATTTTGCCACTAGATGTCATTAGACGTCCATTCCCACCATACTTTTAAAAAGTTAAAATCTGATGATTTCCAAATGGAGTAAAAAAAGATTTATAAATGCAAAAGTTTCCAAAATTATCCTTCTTTTATGCCTCAATTATCTTCACAATATTGTTATAAGTCAGTTTTAATTTCCCCAAAGCTTAAACCACCACTTATAGTTCAGGAGGGAGGGGTAGAACCCCCCCTCCCTGAAGCTTAGGGATTTCTTGCTTTTGAGTGTTTTTTCCCAGAACTTGTAGAGAGGTAAGGAAAGTAATCTCACCTGAATCAGCTGTTTTGCTTTCCTCTTGTTAATATTCTTTGTCTCCGATGATCAGCTGCTTCTGGCTGACTGCATGGGTGTGGTCAGCCTTTCTTCCTGCTGGTCCCGAGGGCTCCTTTGGATCCAGTGGGACAGCTACCGCTGGCCCGCAGTCTGCAAAGTTTTACCCTTTGGCCAGTCGCCTCTATGGGGCGACTTTCGGTCCTGTTGGACCCTCCAGCTGTTAGAAATCGGGCTTGGGGAACGGATCTTCATTCCCCAGCACCCATGTTGCAGCGACATCACTGGAAACTTTTCGCCTCTCCCCCCCCCCCCCCAAATATTATTGTTAATTCACTGTCTTAAGCAGTATTCTTACTTGGGAAGATAATTCCTCTTCAAAAGTATGGCCTAGTATAATCATATAACAATTGTTTTGAAAACTATACATTTTGATTTAAAATGTTAAATCAATTACTAGATTATCTACCCGTTAATCAGATGACTATTTCAGTTCAAAATTATTATTAGTTGCTTATATAGTTGATTATAATTTGAACATATTTGCTTAGTCTAGGTTGAAATGTCTGCTCATACCAGCTGAATTGTCAAGATTTATGGATTTAGTTTACTTGCTGCAGCACAGTGTCTCCTTGGCAAGTGGGACAGATGTATCTCCTTCTGTCATTTTAATATTTAGAGCATAATATGTATATTGTGAATTTGCTGGGCTGTTCCTATGTTCCGGTCTCCCAGGTAGCCTCTTGCCTAGCAAGTTAATCTATGCTTTTGGCTTCATCATTCAAACACATAGTAGCTGCCAAGTGAGTCTTGACTGCTTGCTTGAATTGGCCAGCATTCCTTCCAGCTAGCCAATGGGAGATTGCAAAAATGTAAATCAGCTAGTGCTTCCTTTCTTTGCTTTTTACCTTCCAAAACTCATATTTGTGGAAAGATAAAGAAAAGCAAGTTGGCCAATGCTTTAGTAAGGAAACATTGTGTGGGGAAAGTATGAGGAAGAAGAATCCCAAAGGAACAGTGGGTTGAAGTAGTTTTCATCAGGGGGCAGCAAGCCTGCCTGTAACTCTAGAGGAAGCACTATAACAATTTTGCAGTGTTTGCTCTGGAGCAGAATCTGAACTGATGAATTTGGAGGGTTTGACTTGGTTTTCCCCACAGCACTGTCAGGATATATAAGGACAGCATAAATTTCAGAACTCATCTATTACTTGTCATAGAGACTTGAAAGTAGCTCTAGAGTGTCAGTGCACTGTTGTAAATGAGTCTCTTGCAACTTCCTCAGTAGTTCACCCCCACAATAGTCCTACACTTTGTTTTATATCAAAGTATTTTTATAAAGATGAATGGAAAATAGTCACTGGATATGGATACTGATGGCTACTTTTAGCTATTTCTGATTGCCACTGTGGCTTTATATGCACACACAACCCCCCGCCCCACACACATAGATGCAGGAAGTGGTGATGGTTGAGTTTTTATTGCGTTACAGATCAGTGGATCTATGATATTTGAAAATATAATAAGTTGCCTTTGCCCTTGTCCTTAGGTTTTAAAAGACTTGATGGCACTGTTGAATGTTGTAACAACAATAGTCTCACAGATGTCTGCTTTTCATACAGTAATAAACTGAACAGCCATATGGTAAGTTTTTATATAAATAGATGAGAAAAGTACATGTTTTCTGAATTCAACAGTATACAAACTAGTTTTATGTCAGAATTATTGTATAAGAAATTAAAAATAATAAAACGAATGATATGAAAAATGGATGTGCATATTTTTCATTTAAAAACACTATCTCACACTTGAATGCTCTAGCTAACTTTTCTCAAATGTTAGGGTTGGCAGAAATAACAGGATGTCACAGTAAATAAGATTTGATAGTAGATATAGAGCAAAACTAAATTGCTTAGTTTTAATGCTAATAACCACATTATTGTGCTGAAATGGTGTGTTCTATTTCTTTAAAATGCCCTTTTTACTTCCAATATTAGAGAATATATGTTCTTCAGGTTCTACACATAATAACCACCTTGTAACTAATATATATTGTTAGCCTAGTTGATTGGGGAAATGTAGACACAGTATATCTTTGCCTTACCAAAGCTTTTGACAAAACCTCTCATGGCATCCTTATTAAGAAAATGGTCAAATATAGGTTTGATAATTCCACAGTTGCCTCAAGGATCATACTCAAAGTGTAGTTATAAATACTGTCAAATCTACCTGGAGAAACATCTCAAGTAGAGTGTTACATCAGCGCTTTTATCAATGACATGGAAGAGGGAGTTGAAGGAATGCTTACCATTTCATAGCTATCTTCAAATATCCGAAAGCATACTGAGCAAAATTTGTATATAGTAACTTTTAAAATATATTTTAAAACCAGATGGCCAAAGATAGAATTATGGAGTTGGAAGTGACTTAAGAGTTCATCACGTTCACACTGCAGGATTTACTCCACCATCCCTGATAGCTGTTTGAAAACCTCCAGCGAAGGGGAAGAAGCCACTACATGTAGTAACTTATCCTATTGAAAGACAACTCTTACAGCCAAGAAATACTTCCTAATGTCTACATCCTTAACGTTTCATCTTAATAGCTTTACCCTCTGAAGGAAGTAAGTCTGAACCTTCTACAATGCGACTGCTAGAGCAATAGTGGATGAAAAAGCTATGGACCTGTTCCCAGTGTTCCATCCTAAAATGCATAGGCCCATCACATCACTCTGCTCAATTATATACTGTAACTACCAAGGAACCCAATACACAGTTTACCAAAGAACTCACAAAAAAGTTGGACACCTAATAGATGGGATGAATATCAATTCTCCATTTCAGTGCTTCCAGGACCTAACTACCGGTATTCAAAAGAGGAAATTATGGTTTCACTCTTCACAATCATAGATCCATAATAGCAAAGGAATCTGTTGCAATACCACATACCAAACTGTACAGAGAACAGAATAATTGAAATACCCAGGCTTATGGAACTTAATGACCTTTGCCTCATCTCTTCCAGTTCAACTATATACAGAAAAATCAGAAGTAACACCCATGGAATCTCCCCTCTGAGGATTCATGAGACTGTAATGCTTAGAAGAAATAGGCTTCCTACATGGAGAACCCAAATATAGATCCATTCTGTAGATGACACTTTTATTATAATTAAAGTATTATAATTGAAAAGACACATGAGACAACAACATCTATAAAGGAATAAAAGAAGAAGAACAAATTACTACTCTCCTCAACAGAAGAAGCAATTAAAGACCACAAATCCAGGTTATTGAAAAGCAATCCATAGTGTCCACAAGCAACATTGTCCACAAAAGGAAGATGAGCAAAGGCATGTTGCAGTATCTGGAACCTCAAAAAGATGAAACAGATTATATGTACAATATCTTTTAACATAACAGACAACCATACAACTTCATTAAAAAGTGCTTGGCTATATAACCTATATAACAACAAAACCGTAACAACCTATTTTTTTAAAAAAAAATCCCTATATACCTATACGTCTGGGGCAACCAAAAGGCAATTACAACTTCTCAGTATCACTGTAGCATTTAAACCAACAAAATCAATCCAAAGCATCTTAAGGAAACCTAAAGACACAGGCATTAAAGAAGGCCATCTGAAACATACTGTACTGTATGATATAAGGCCTATGCTGCACAGACATGTAGAAGATTGGCAGAATGCATCCACAAGCATCATGTTGTAATCAGAAGACATGATGAAAATCATTAATGCCTCAGCACACAGACAAATTGTACCACAATTTCAAGTGGGAAACTTGATACTATACATTAAACTAAATCCAAAAGTGCTGGGGAATTCCTAGAATTCAGACATAACAGCTTTCAGCCGACCCATAAAGTCAGTCTATACCATGTAAAGGATATAACCTAGTCAAAGAAGAAGCAAACAGCACAGAACACATCCTTGCTAGCAATCAACATCCTAGTAAGAAGGGTACAGCATCACACAAATAGTCCAAGAAGAAACAATACCATAATAAACCATGAAGGAAGAAAGACTAACAGCCAGCCAATTCCACTCTCCCATTCATTTGATTATGTTACCTGGTAAGGAAATGCCTGCAAGAAAACAGCCTAGTTCAGCAAGCCAAAGAGCCCAACACTTTTTACCTGTCCAGTGACATACCAAAAAGAGTTGCCTGTCTACTGGGCCAATGGTTCTATATTTCCCAACTCTCTTTTAGTTGGATTTTTCTCTCATCTCTCCTTAATGTTCCCTCAGGTAATTTATTTAGTCATTCTGCCACTTGGAATATAACATGTTTCTAGCATATTGTTGCATTTACAGCCATAGTACTTTTGAGATACTGCCTGGAAATTGTGGAAGTTTTAGTTTTGTAGAGCTCGTAGAAATCTCATTCTGAAGAAGTGGTAATGAATATATAAAATAACTACAATGTAGTTTTCTTGTTTTCTATCTAGCTTGTCAAGCCCTACATATAGTGAATGTTTCTCAATGGCATACATTTAATACTTATTTAAATTTCAGACCCAGTATGCTTGTTTGCCAGCACGGAAAACTATTGAGGCCAGTGAGCTCTGCCAAACAAACAAAGATTGCCTAAAGGATTTTATCCCAAGTACGTGTGTGACCCCTTCCTTGGAAAATCAAACCAAGCTCATAAGGGTGAAGCATCCTCCTCAAATTGATATGCTGTTTGTTGGTCATCCACTGCATCTCCAATATACAGGTATGTATGATTTGGTGAGGATGCTAACAGAATTTGAGCATGTAAAATACACAACATACAGATTACAGTTGGCTGATTTTTTCTTTCTTTCTTTCTTTCTTTCTTTCTTTCTTTCTTTCTTTCTTTCTTTCTTTCTTTCATCAGGCATGATACAGTTTTATTGCTGCCCTATTTCCACAGTAATCAAATTTATATATTTTCATTTAGATTATATGCATATGTATTTGGTCATGTATGCAAAATAAATATATGTACTTCAGTTACAAAAAAAGCTTACCTCAATATGAAGCTTATTCTGTAGGCATGCATTTCATAAACTGAAAATAATATTTTATACATGTGTATGTATGTTGATCATTGGTTCTTAACTGAAGCAGGAAAAGTTTGGGAAACTGGCTCAGGAATATGAAAATATTGCTACAAGACGTTCTAATAAATGCTTTTGCATAGCTTTTGTCATTTACTCTTATTTTAGTATTTGATAAAAGTTTGTCTTAAGATACTGAGTCCTAATTTTGTCAGGAAATTAAGGAGGTTTCTTAATCTGCATGTATATAGACTTTTTTGAACTTCATAAAAGTTTATATTTTCAGCTTTAAACCACTGACATCAAAAACAAATCTCAACATAGATAATATTTTTAATATTTAGCCATAAATATAATGGATTCCTTTTATAGATAATTCTTGACTTATAACTTAGCAACTGTTTGAAGTTATGATGCATCTCCATGGGGTATTTACAACGTGTTTCCAATGGCCAGGTCCCTGTGCCCATGTTCACGTGACTGCATTTCGGGTGCTTAGTAACTAGCCTGCATTTATGGCCGTTTCAAGTGTCCTGCAGTGACATGACTGTGTTTTACAACATTTTTGCCAAACTAGGCATTTACTTCTGTTTTTCGGCAAAAATGCCCATTAAGTGAACCATTGTTTTGCTTAGTGACCATGAAGTTCACTTCAAAAAATATCATAAATGAGTCCATTCAAGCTATGCCCCATTTTATGGCCATTATGACTTATAACCAAGATGGGAAGATTCTAATACAGTCATAACTCAAGGACTACCTGTATTTGTTCACTACAGATAGTCCTCTACCTATGATCACAATTGAGCCCAAAATTTATGTTGCTAAATGAGAAACTTGTTAAGTGAGTTTTGCCCCATTTTACGACTTTTCTTGCCACACTTGTTAAGTGAAGGATTGCAGTTGTTAAATTAGTAACACCGTTGTTAAGTGAATCTGGTTTTCCCATTGACTTTGCTCATCAAAAGGTCACAAAAGGTGATCATATGATCCCAGGACATTGCAATAATCATAAATGTATGAACCAGTTGTTAAGCATCCAAACGTAAATCATATGACCATGGGGATCCTGCAATGGTCATAAGTGTGAAAATGGTCATAAGTCACTTTTTTCAGTGTCTCTGTAACTTTGAACAGTCATTAAATGAACTGTTGTAAGTCGAGGACTACCTGTACTTTATGTAAGTAACACATACTTAGGGTCATGAATGCTATAGGCATATGGAACATATTTCCTGTTTTTGTCTTTAGCTTTCTTCTACTAAAATACATATGTAATGTTCAGATGCAAAGATCAGCTGCATATTATTCCTCTATACTATAGACACTTGATTCTAAAACAACAGTAAGTGTATTATGTGTTAGACCTGCTGTTTTCACAAAATGTAGACCAACTATGAATGTGGCATAGTTATTGAAGTGATGTTACCATACATCATGGGGAATGAAACAAAAAGTTGTATTTGTTGCGAACAGAGATTTAGACATGATTTGTGTTGAAATGCTCCTTGATTTTGTAACAAACTTAGAAAATTCTTTCTTTGTTTAAGTGAGCCTCAGCAGCTTTGTACCTCGATACAGCTTTCTAACTTTGGACCTTCCTTTAATAATGGAAACATTTTGCAAGTATCCTTTCATATTTGTGTGAACTTGTTGAGAGAAGACACTGGGAGTATCTGTCATGCATATAAAATATCCAAGGACCACAGCCATTTGATTTTTACCTTTTGAACAGCCTCTTCTAACTTATTTTGCATATTTTGCCTGTTTAAGGGGGATGGAAGCTATTGGCTATGATGTAAGATTTTGATTTAAACAATCCAGCTCAGGAAACGGTGAAAGTAAAAATATTATCTAACATTTTCTGCACATGTTTTTTTTATATATATAAAATGTTGGCATTAAATCTTTAAAAAGCCTGAATAAATGAATTTGTTTATTTATTAAATTTATAACATAGATAACTCCATAACAACTCTTATCCAAGGGAAGTGGGCAAAGCAGCCTAATTATTTTCTGTTTGAAAAAACAATTTGCTGTCTAGAATGCTGACTTCCTTTTATGACAAGAAATAGATTAAGCATGTGGCTTAATGACTAGATTTCAAAACATTCTGGATAAAGATATGGAAACGAGCTGCACTTGTCAAGTTGAGTGTTAAGATCACATACCACACACTTTGGGGTTTCCTATAGCTGGGCTTTTCAACCTTTTCACAGATTGTACCACTTTTAGGACATAACAATATTTGAGTATTACCAGTGCTTAGCAAGGTGTCAAAAACTTGATGACTAAAAAAATGGGGGGGGGGATTTTTGGTTTTACTTATTAGATTCATTTGTTGTTATAGAAATAACTAGTTTATAATATTATGGAAAAGTAAAAAGTTGAGGTTTAGTGTTAATGCTTCCTTCTACTGCAACAGAGGAAGTCTATTCTTTTTCTCTTCTCCCCCTCACTTTCCCCCCCTTTTTCCTCCCCACTGTGTCCTACTATTTGCTTTTGTATTTTTGTATTTTATTCTATAATCTAATAAAATGTTACAAATTGTAGAAAAAATGAAAAAAGTACCAGTTTTAATTGCTTTGGTGGCAGTTCCTTTGCTGAATCACTTTCCATTTGCACTGACAAATGTATGATGAATTTATCCATATTTATTAATATGCACCACTACCAGCTAGTTGGTCGGCTCTTCTTCCTCTCTCCCTCTCCTCTTCTTCTTCCCTGCCTTCTGAGCTCTCCTTCCACAATGTAATAAGAATGCACCCCCCAGTCTCTTGATTGTACCCGTAAAGACACAGGATTCAAGCACAAAGCAAAGAAAGGCTCACAAAAGCCTCCCAGAATAAAGAAACACTGACTACTTTTTTTTTCTTTAAGCTTCCTCAGGCATGTCTCAGTTTAAACAATGTAGCAACCGGAGCCTAAAAGGCTCCAGCAACTGCGAAAAGCGATAACCTTAAATTAAGCCTGTTTACCTACAAAGCAAACTTGCTAAAAGCCATAGACAGACTTAGGATAAGGGGGTAAAACTAATTACATTTGTTTAAAGGGATTAAACCTATGGAAGCCAACACTTTGGACTCATTGCCAGCCTTTGTGAAACAGACTAAAATATTCCAGTAACCAAAGCACACAAACCGAGCCTCTGAATTACAAAACACTGTAAAAACTGCATAAAAATCCTTACGGTAACCCATTCAAGCTGCCAGTTGACCAGGAACCAACTGGCTTCCGAAATAAACCAACCTCCTTTCCGACATGCTGGTGTCCCAGCTTTTCATTTTATCAGTGCCGATTGCATTCTCCTGGCTGGAGAAAACGAACCAGGGGACTTTTCTTCCAGCAACAGCTTCTTCTTCTCTGTCTCTTTTTCCTCCCTGCCTGCTGAGTTCTCCTTCCACAGCTTCTTCTCTATCCCCTTCTCTTTCCCTGTTGTCTTTTTTCCCCCTTTTCTGCCAAAACCACCTCCTTTTATATCCTCTCTTCTCCTCCCCCCCTTTTTCTTCAGTTCACCTCCAGCTACATGCTGCTTCCAGAAGTGCCAATCAGCTGGAGCCAATCAGCTGGAGCCCTGCCAGTGCTCCTGGGGCTTCTGCTGAGCCCCAACAGTCCTGTAGCTCCAGCTGCCTCTCCCTCAGACTTGGGTTGCTTCAGCTCATTCCCCTCCCCCACTACACATGTCTAGGAGGGTTGCGTACCACCTGCCATGTGCCAAAGTATCACTGGTGGTATGCATACCACCGGTTGAAAAGCCCTGTCCTATAGCATGTCCAGGACTGCTTGAGCCCAATCAGGGATTCCATTGGTAGTGGGATAGTCAATGTAGCTATGGAAACATGATCTTCACTTCAGCCATTTAAAACAAGATACATTTCTTTCAGTGAAGATCTGGAAAGGGAGATAGAAACCATGTAGATTATAACCTGGGTAATTAGGTCTGCACCACTCCTGCGCAGAGTACCAGGACAAGTTGGGGACTCATAAAGGAGACCTTGCCCCATTCTGTTTGGCTTCTATAATATTAGAAGCTTTTCACATCTTTAAGCCTATAGGAACAAGGTCACTACAAGCACAGGTAGTCCTTGTTTAATGACTGCCTCATTTGGTGACTGTTTAGCAATATGTTTCATCATTTGTATGAGAATTGAATAATATGCTGTATATTCTAATATGCTGCAACAGCATGTAGCTATTGCAACATATTAGAATATACAGTATATTATTCATGTAGCTATTGCTGAGAATTATAAACATAACTATAGTGTTTTAGATTATCCATTTCCAAGTTAGAATATCTCTTTTTTAAGCATTAAATAAAACATGGAGGCATTTTTTAAAATTATTAATTTATTAAAGATGTATACTGCCAATAACTGGTGTAATGGCACTTGTAGGGGAAAATATAATGCTGTCTAACCTTTATATCCTTTCTCAACATGTTTTTTCCTTATGTAAAGTCTCTTCCTTTATCTTGTATAAAAATACATTTTACAACTAGGATCTTACTGATTTTGGTTTTTGCTATCAATAAAGAATTATAAGAATGAATAAAAATAATATTAGTTCAGTTAAATTGCTATGTTCCCAAATTTATATGTGTTTTTAAAAAATGACTATGATCGTGCACCTTAACAAGCTTAAACAGATATCTGATTTCACTCTCTGGAGCACTGGCCGTTGTTAATGCAATTCCCTGTTTTGCTTTGGATGGCCAATGGATATTGAATTCTTTCTTGGAAGCTACTGCTAGCAAATTTATTGTTGAAAAGCAAAACAGGGAGCTTCTTGGCTTCTTAATTTTACTTGCTGGCAGTGCACTCTTGGCTGCTAATGTGGCCCTAGGACTCTGGATTGTGACAGCACGATAACATCATAGCACATTTTGATATCATTTATGATGCTGATGCAGAAAACATTGAAATATATCACCTTATAAAATGACAGTTGGGTGGGTCAATGGAAAGAAAAATAGCTTTACTCTTTTTAAGAATGTGTCCATAGATACCTTCAGACATGTTTCTTGTTACCTTTGAAGCCCTCTGACCCTGCCACTTGACCATACTCAGCATTTATTTATAGAGGCTCCTATGGCTTCAGAGGCATTATTAGGAAATGGTGCTTGGAGCTCAGTGATTTACTCTGCAGTTCATTTGATTGCGTGTCAAAGCCAAAAGGAAGAAAATGGGACACTATTGCTACTTAGTAAGCTTTGACATGTTAGGAACAATGTAGAAGGGTGGCATAATAATAGAAAAGTATGACATATCCCTAGTTTTGGTTTGGCATCAGTTTGGCACCTAAACATTGATCCCACAAAGAAATAGATGAAATCCAGCTCCCCCCCCCAAAGTCTTTCTCTCCTCAAATCACATTTGCAAAGATAGAAATGGTGAAAGCCTGGTTGCACCTTTATAATTCCAAGAGTCATTAGGAAAGTGGCGTTAATCTTTAAGCATTCTGATTTGTTGGCTAAATTCAGAGAATCATAGAGTGTTATTCTTGATTGGGTAAAGCAACGATATGCCTTTTCTCCTATCTTACTGTGCTCTGACAACGTTTCCTTAGTTTCATCAAACATTAATGATAAATGGAAGACTGTCACTTTCCAATAAACTTCTTCTATAGCTATTGGTTTGGTTTTAGAAGAAATTTCCTATTACACTTTCCTTATCTGCCTGACCACAAGATTATACTGTTATCTTTTGTGTATTTGAATTGATAGTTCTTCAGTACTGGACTTTGGAGAGGAAGACGCCAAGTACTTATTTCTGTTTTCCTGGAGCTGGGGTAAAGAGACAAGGCCAGCCTAGAATAATTCAAGTAGACAACAATAATGTGTTAGAAAGTTCAGCCTAGCTGGTGGCTTGATATCATAATTAACTTTTACTACTGAATTTCCCTGAGGTCCCTTTGCCATTTTTAAACAAGAAATTATACTGCAAAGTGACCATGGCCATAGGGACAGAGTGCCAAAATTGCTGAAATTGTTAAGTGAAACAATAGAAGGGTCCTGGGGGAAAAATAAGTGAGAGTGTTGAATAAATATTATTGCCAAATAGTATGTTTTTAGACAGTTGACTCGGGGGTGACTTTCCTTTTAATGCAGAATCAAAATATGGTTTTGGGGCTCAGGCTATCTTTGACTTGTATTTAGGACTGTCAGTGGACTGCTTTCTGTGAATGTAAACAGCATATTTATGAATGGATTTCTGTTTTATTATACTTGTATACTTCCAAATGAGCATAAACTGAAAAACCAGGTATATTATCTTGTAATTATAAGCAATTCAAGATTTATTTCTTGAAAATTAAAGACTTTTTTCCTTTAGTATTTTTTTTTAAAACAAATATGCACTTACTTTCCATTCTCAGGTAAACTTATTCATAAGTGGATGGATTTTAATGGCATGTCTTTAAGTACGTGAATTATGTATCGGTGGATATATCTCTTCACTGTGTAAACTTTTGTGTTCAGAAGTCAAGCCTTAATATGGATTTTGAATTATTTGACATGATTTTTCAGAAAGAAATGATTGTACATTTTGTTGATGGTTAAAAATATATGTAATATTTTGCTGAAAGTTCAGAGCTGATAATCATATTTCAAGTATATTGTAGGATTCTTTTTGCAAATGCTACTGCTCATTTTGTTTTCCTTTGTAAATTGTTCTATTTGTGTATGCTCTCATTTTTCATATTTTCATATATTTGTAGTTTTTAATTCCAGCCCCAGCTATTCAGTTTTGTATCAGTTTTACATATGGAGAATGACGATGTCATGATGATGGTGTTCCAGTGTTCTTGGGACTACCTAGAGAGCTGTTTACAACAAAATTCTTATATGGTTAGGAAAACTAGAAAAGGCCTCATTGACATTGCTACAAATTGCTGTTCTGAGCCTGAAACATGAGAAAAATGGTGAATTTCCGTTTTGTAAAATATGTACTACAAAGATATATACTACAAAGAAAAATAATGTGGATATGGAAAGGTATTTTTCACGGCTTGAATGGGAAAGACCTGATAGAATAGGCATATATACATCTACTGTAGATATAAGTCTAAAGTAAGGGCCATTGATAATTTATAGTTCATTACTTTAAAAACTTATTTATAAACTAGGGTTTTAAATTCAGACTGATTGTAGATACCTTAATTTATGAGTTATCCTAAACATACTCAAGGAATAAGTTTCACTGAGTTCAGTAAATATTTATTTTAAGCAAACAGGCTTAGGGTTGTGCTGCACAATTATAGTAATGATCTTTTGTGAAGCCTCTGGGTTCATGTAGATATTACATATTTATTTTACTGAAGAATCTAATTATGATTATTGTAACTGTATGTATGTCTCCTGTACTAGATTATAAAATACAATTTTTATTTATTTCAAGCTATGTTTTTCCAAAGCTTATTTGCTGGTTTGCAGATCTGTTACTTTAGCTATTGACTATTTTGTGGTTAGACAAATAACATAGTCTGTAAGTTCTGTTGTTATAAATGGAAATTAGTCTTACATTGTCTTACTGATAAAACAAACACACTTTAAAAGCTATTAACTATCAAAGGATAGTTGTATAGGTAGTCCTCAACTTACAGCAATTAATTTAGTGACCATTCAAAGTTACATTGGCACTGAAATAACCATTTTTCACACTTGCAACTATTGCAGCATTCCCATGGTCATGTGATCAAAATTAGATGCTTGGCAACTTGCTCATATTTACGACGGTTGCTCATGTGATTAGTTTTTGTCACCTTCTGACCAGCATAGTCAATGGGGAAGCCAGATTCACTTATCTGTGTTACTAACAACTGCAGTGATTCACTTAACAACTATGTCATGAGAGATTGTAAAATGGGCCAAAAGTAACTTAACACCTGTCTTGCTTAACAATAGAAATTTTGGGCTCAGTTGTCATAAATCAAGGACTACCCTTATATGGGTAGTCTTAATATTATTGTAATTTCTGACTATTGAAAGGTATTAACTTTTTCTCCATACTATACAGACAGACACATGAGAGATTAAGTCTCAATTTGAGTGAATTCAGACTTGATTCTTAACATCTGGGGCTGCAATAAAATTAAGCTTGCTTCTGAATAAACATGAATAAAAATAACATTTGGATACTAAAAGGCCACATGGAGAGTCTTAGTATTTCTTTTAATTGTAATCAGCAATAGAAAAAAGCTGCCAAGGGTAAGTCTGGAGATGGGCAAGGCTGAAGTCAAATAAATAACAACATACTTCAATAACTTCTAATTAGTAATATTTATTTCAAACAAAGTTGGAATGAGGACTATGGTGTATGAAATATTTTCAAGGTGTTTTTCAACAATATCTGAAATGGTTTTCAACTGCTTTGAGGTAAATGTTTGAATAATATTTAACTTCCATGCCAATAGGTACGGCATTTCTGTCTACAGTAATTAAATGAAGGTGAAACAGAAGACTCATTTTTATAAAGAAAACTTCAGTACTTTGACAGAAAAATAAAAACAGATGTCCCTTTAGTTTTGCACTATTAATCTTAATTCATAAGAGTTTTGCAGATAAAGGTTACTTTAAAATAGTGTCTGACATCTCCAATAATCTTTGGTATTTGACCTTGTAAAGAAACTGCTGCCGATAGCAGGATTGTCCTGGCCGCAAGTAGAAGCTAGTTGTTTCAAAAAGTTTCAATAATTAACTAGTTTCACTGAGGAGCTATCATTCTTAGAAAAATGTAGATTTAAAACTATTTTTTGAGCTGTGGTATTTTCTGCTCCCATTTGTATTATGAAGAAGAAAAGTTAAAGAGAAATGAATTTAAATGAAAATGCTATAAACTAAATCCTATCTATTAACCTATTGGGTGAATTTATAGAATGACTTATGACTTCTTAAAAAATACCCACTCAATTCAGTGAGAATACATTCCATTTTAAATATTCATAATTCTGTAGAACAGTAGACAATTTCATAAAAGAGTTTTCTCATGCCAATACTGGTATTTGTTTGACACTTTGTTGAGATTATAAAAAATACCCATACAGGTTGTCTTCAATTTACAGCCACAATTGGGACCAGAATTTCTATTGTTAAGCAAGATGGTTGTTACATGATTTGCGCCCTATTTTATAACCTTTTTGGCTATGGCTGTTAAGCGAATCCCTGCAATTGTTAAGTGAATCATATGGTTGTTAAGCAAATGCAGCTTTCCTCATTGATTTTGTTTGTCAGAAGCTGGCTGGGAAGGTTGCAAATGATGATCACATGACCCAGGTATGCTGCAGTTGTAAATGCATGCCAGTTGCTAAGTGCTCAAATTTTGATCACATCAGCATGGGGATGCTGTGGCAGTTTTTACTTTTTTCAGTGCCATTGTAACTTTGAACAATCAATGAATGGTTGTAAGTTGAGGACTACCTGTACAATATACATCCTAATATTAATTATTATTAACATTAAGAAACTAGGAGTTTTTGTTTTGACCCTTTAGACTGAGCCAATCTTGAAAAATGTTTTTCTTAATGTTATGTGATCATCATTTGCAACCTTCCCAGCTAGCTTCTGACAAGCAAAATCAATGAGGAAAGCTGCATTTGCTTAACAACCACATGATTCACTTAATAATTGCAGGGATTCGCTTAATAGCCATAGCCAAAAAGGTTATAAAATAGGGCGCGAATCATGTAACAACCATCTTGCTTAACAACAGAAATTCTGGTCCCAATTGTGGCTGTAAGTTGAAGACAACCTGTATGGGTATTTTTTATAATCTCAACAAAGTGTCAAACAGTATAGAAACACAAGTTAAGATAGGCAAGAAAATAGTAAGTGAGCACCTGTCCAGCCTAGACGAGTTCAAATCGCCAGGACCAGATGGATTACACCCCAAGGTTCTCAAGGAACTAGCAAATGTGATCTCTGAACCACTGAACTATATTTTTCAAAGATCCTGGAGCACAGGGGAACTACCAGAGGACTGGAAA